TGTTTTAGGAAAACAATCTGAAAGGTACGTTTCGTTGTCTTACTTATCTCTATATAAAAGGGAACTAACAATAAGATAATAGAGCAATTCCATTCACAAATAGGCGTTGTATTTGAGTACATACCACTCAATATTAAAAACCATTTTTTTTATTATTTTTTGAACAGCAATCAGAACTTAAGAGTCCTATAAATTGTTGGGTTAATTTGACTTAATATAATGTTATTATAGATGGCAACTCAAACAGTTGCCTCATATCCGTGTGAAAAGTTTTGTTATTACAATTTCTGCAATAGGGCGATTTTTTATTGGTGCAGCAATGCCTGATAAGGGTCATTTTCACTTGGAATCATATTGCTATCTATATCTCCAAGTGAAACCGATATCACAACTGCTTGACATCAAGCTTTTCGAAGCGGGATCGAACTCCTCTGATTCAGATTCAGTCACTCTAGCCACTTACCCACAAGTGAGTCCTAAAAACACAAAATAGCAATTTGTATGAAACTAATTAGCTTTCTTGTAGACAAAGCTATTAAAATAATAAATATGGTTTTCGTTGTAAAACCTTCTGATCATTTTGGTGAGCTTTGGAAAAGTAGATGCCAAATGATTGTCTCTGTCATATATGTAGTATGTAAGAATTTACCATATCTTATGGCGAATGGATAAACCGATTTGAACTGCTCAAAAATCATTCGATTCTCTTGATAGTGTCTAAAGTCCATTGGAAAATTCAGATTTATTTTTCAGCCGTTATTTGGAAGCTGAAACTGAGATTTTATTTTCCTCTTCATTTATTAAAATATATCTATCATAAATATACATATAAATACTGTCATCACAATTTCATACAGACGTACTGTCTGCTGCAAGACATCACAGTAAATATTTATTACAAATAATTCAGATATTTTTATAATCTATTTAACAATTGTTTTATCTATATACACATACACATATAGTCATTGAGATAAAACGTATAACAATAACAATGATATTTGTCCTCACAAAAATAAATTAGATTTGTTCATACTTCATACAAATTTTGAGTTTATTTTTTAATTAAATTTTTGATTTGACAAAGAACGAGTTTTTGAGCCTTATTTAATAAATGCATTTAATTGCAAAGAATTGGTTCTATTGTTAAAGCTTTGATAGTAATTTTTACCATTATGAATTAAATTTTGATATCTAAATTTGTGTATCGCTGACGAATATTACACATTCCAATGCTTGTGGAAAATTATTATTAATCATCAGCAATTAATTTGTTATTATTGTTGAAACAATGGACAGACAGATATTAGCATTGTTTATCTAGAAATAACTGCTTTTACTGATATACTTTCAAAGTATTAATAGAACAGATCAGTAAATGTGCTATGCTATTATTATCCTTCATAATTGCGTCTAGCTTAAGGCATTGTGTTGGATGGTGTGCGCATATATTATGATTAACACAATATTTTGGGTTATATTTTCAAAGATTAAGCACACAACTTATTTTAAACAATGCTCTTAGGCACTATCTCCACTTTATAAACACCACAGATATCAAATTTGTGGTTTGCACATAGCAGGCTATCAGACAACTTATTTATTTTGTTGATAGGAGAGTGTCCATAGATTCATACACATGCAGAAAAATTTAAGAATCTCATTAAAAGGTATACGCATCTAAAAATTTTATAATTTAAGATAGTTTTTTTATTATTTTTTTTGTAAAAGCAAGTGAAATGCAATTTTAATATTAATGTAAAAAATAAATGAAATAAGTAGAAGATGGATAGGAAATGGAGAAAAAGATAAAAAGAGCTTTAACTTATTGCTTGAAATATGGTTAGGATTTTTTTTAAAAAAAGTATCATTTGTTTTGTTAGTTTCTGAGCTAGGATATTGCAATGTTCAGCCGGCTTATTTTTATACTTTTGGTCTGCATATCTCTTTTCTGATGGAGACTATGGAGCCTATTCTGCGTAAAATAGACTAATGATATGGCAAGGCTATGTTACGTAGCGCTTTGCATTCAAAATGGTACTAAAAGCTATCAAAATGCTGTGTATTTGCTGCGCAGTCAGGCGTTATACTTATAAAATGTGACTTCACACATATGTTGTCATGCCACATCACTAAGATGCACTTATGAAAGATTCTTTTTTTGACGTTTGTGGGTTTTCTAGGTTTGGTTTTCTTTCTAAAATGCTTGACTGCACAGCAAATACATAGCATTTGATCACTTTTAGTACCATTTTATATGCAAAACGATACGTAACATAACTTGCCATAACATTGGTCTATTTTATGGCAAAATTGGCCCATATAGGTTTGATCTATTTTTATTTATTAATAATTCGCTATTTATGCCGATTGTTGACTTTAATTAATCTATCATACATCGGTATATACTCGATTATTCGAAGCTTTCTGTATTACTGAAATGAAGATTTAAGGGGGCTATTCTTATGTAAAATAGAGTCAGTTTAGATAGAAACTAGCTGTAAGTGGAATTCTGTCTTAAGGCAATTAAGGCATCGTGCCTTAAGGCAAATTGCTGGAACTTCCCGTACCAAAAATTATTATTTTTTAAAAAACGATTTACATTTTTGAAAAAAATTTACTTCAAAAGAATAAGATTTTTGACAAACAATTAGTCAAAAAATTAATTTTTTTTTTAATTTTTTTTTTTTTTTAATTTTTTTTTGAAAAAAAAAATGTTTTCTTTATTTTGACATATTTTGAAAGATCTAAACTTTCTTTCAAAGCAATCGTACGGCTTTAACTGCATAAAGACGAAATATTAAACCGCGTAAGCGCCGCGTCGACGTCTAACGCGTAAACATTGGTACGGAACCCATAGGAATGTGAACCAAAATTATACTTATTGTTAAAATCTCTATAAAATATCTGATAATTTGATGTGCATATGTCTAATGATCATTTTTGACCGCCAAATGGCATTTTTTTTTACTTTTTTCATTAGATCTCCGAAACCGCTAGACCTACCTTTATGAAAATTTGATCGGTTGTTCACCTTGTCAATACAAGTAAAATGTTTTTTGAATTATTAAAATCGGACGCTCGGTTCTCTTAAAAACGGAGTTACCGTTTTCGGCACTTTTTGCCCCGTATCTTCGGAACGGCTAGACCTGACCTCGCCAAAAACTAATCAGCACGTCTCCTTATCAATACGAATCGAATGTTTTTTGAAATATTCAAATCGGTTGATCGGTGTTCCCGAAATCGTCGACGAAAATTTGTATCCGCACATACATACACACACGCACACACACACACACACACACACACACACACACACACACACACACACACACATACATCCATTTTTTCTAAGGTATGCCAAAATATTCAGAAACCTTTGAAACGTCGAGAAATGCAAAAATTTTCATTTTCGATTTTTTTGCGATTACTATAACTTACCCTACGGGAAGTTAAAAATAATCTAGAAAATGCACAAATGTCGAAAAAACGATGTTATGATAACTGGATCTTTGTGATATGGTTTAATAACACATAAGTGATGTTGTATTCTATGTTTAAAACGCTTGATCGTACAGCGAATACATGGCAGTATTTAGTACGATTTTGTATGAAAACTGCCACGCAACAATATATTTGCCTTAACATTGATGTATTTTAGAGCAAGTCGGCCCATAATTTTTGTTTTGTGAGTAGATTTTCATACTATTGTGAATAAATTAGGAATTATCTCATACACTAATAGTTTTTAGAATAAATTTTGCAATCGGTAGCATAAACAATTAAGAGTCGGAAGTGTTTTCTTGTTTAGTATTTGTAAAGAATATATTTCTTAAACTAAATTAGCGAATGTAAAAAGATGTCAATGCGCGGAATATAACCATCAAATTATTAGTTGAGTGCTTACGAATAGGGAATGCAATACCGATAGAAAATTTCAATACCGGTATTTCGGTAATTTTTCATTTTAAAACCGGAATACCGGTAAATTACCGGTATTTTTATTATCTTAAACAAACGTAAACAAAATTGAAAGTTACTAGTACAAATATAAAAAAATGTATATACAACTATAACTATATTCAACTAAACAATAAAATAAAACAATAAGTTTATTTTTTTAAATAACAATTTAACAAAAATATATGCAATTTAATTAATTCATTATCACTATCGAGTATATTGAGTACTTTTTACCAAAAACAAACTTATGAGTAAGAAAGTCCAAAAACTCATAAAAGATCATGACATTATTATAATAAACTGTATTGTCTATATCCGATTTGTTAAATTAGCATAATCTCCAATATTTTAAAAAAATAATTTTTCTACACTAATTTAAGATCGGATTCTTTGTTGAGATAAATAATAAGTTACTATAATTGTTGAGTATTGTTATTCAAAACAATGTGATGCTTCTATAGTATTTTCAAACTTCGAAACGTTTTCGAAAAATAATATTTTATAATTGTAATAAGAAGCAAAAATATTTAGTGATTATCATAATTATTATGTATAAAGATAGAAAAAAATATAGATTGCGCAGGGGTAATCTGTATGATATAAAATATTTTAGCGCAAATATCACTTCAAAAACCGTTACATCTTTACAAGAGATGAAACAAACGTTTAGATAATGATCATTATCTATCAGTCCAATTCTATTTATTGTAACACGATATGAAGCCCTTTGGAAAGCAATGAATATTCAGTTTAATGACGAGTTGAGATTTGACATTTGTTTATCTTATAGAATCACTTGAAGATATAGCTGTTTATGCGATTAAGGAATTTAAAGATAAATCTGTTCCGAAAAATTTAAACTTTAGGGTATTATGTATCAAATAGCGCTTATGTAAAATTACCGAAAATATCGGTATTTTTGGGGTAAATACTGGTAAAAATACCGCCGAAAAACCGGGCGGTTTACCGGTAATTCGGTATACCGGTATACCGGTATTGCATTCCCTACTTACGAATATATTTTTTATTTATTTCAGACTCGTGGATCGAGCTTCCGACTGGTGGTACAGGGCCTCATAGTCCCGACAGAGTCACACCTCTTCCATTTTCTTCAGGAGAAGAATATTTAAGACTGCTCAAAGAGGCTCAAAGAGAATCCTCGAATCAAAGTAGTGCGAGGGTGTCTTTAGCCAGCTCGCGTCGCGACACACCTCGAGGAAGGTACATTTTTCATTATAATTTATATATTATGCATATGTTTATTGGATGTGTACATGTATATGTATATCGATGTATATAAGTATATACTCGTAGATGCAAAGGCGGTTCTATTTTATATTATGATAGAATATAATGATTATGTTTGAATAATAAAGAAGAAATACCTACATAAGGCGAGACCAAGTTAAGCTTCGACCTTTCATTAAATCTTAACGCATAGGGGAGCTAGAGGCTATCTGTAACAGGGGTAACCATTAACAGGGGTTTTCCAATAAGATCTTAAACGATATTATCGTTTAAGACACATTAACCGTCCAATAATATCGTCATAGCTACTGCCTCGCAGGCCGACGCAATAAACAGAACTGTGTAGGTCCGTCATTTTTTAAATGTAATATAAAACGCAAACCGAAATTTTATGATAGTATATTATGAAATTTAGGTTTGCTAATTTTAAATTTTATACATCTTGTTTCCTTTCCAATTTATCAATCTTTGATAACACAGGCCAACAAAGAATGGTGCAAACGATTTTAATGCTGTTTGTAAGTATATTTGGGGCGCTGATTTAAAAAATGACACATTTTTTTCTATGAGCTTTAGTTTTCAAGATATGATATATAAGGAATGAAAGTACAAAATAGTTATACAATTCAGAATGTTATTTTAATGAGATATGCCTACTCGTACATACAAACTTACAAGACCCATTCGGCCTTAGTTGGGACATTAGTTGACACTGTGAAAAGTTCTTTTCCGTGTGAGAATGGATCTGGTTTCGGCAACTTCTTTCCAAGTTCCAAACTAAAGCTGATACAAAAAACTTGTTTGCAGATTTGGAATCAGCGCAAAAAATACTATAAGAATCAGCTCTAACATTTGATGCATTAAACAAACAAAAAATTTGTAGGCCTGTGTAATATGTAAAAAATTTTGTGATTGCTAAATTGTTTAAATAGTTATCTTGATTAAAGTAAATAAATTACACCTGGGGTTAGTTGAAACAAAACTAACTTGGAGCTATTTGTAACATACAATAATTACATACAGATTCAAGTGCAGCAGATTGAATGGAATGTATAGGTTGTAAAATATAGGTGCACGTAAATTGTATTGCAGTCTCCCATATATCTTTTGCTTGTATTATAATAATAATTGTAGTTTACGACGGTTTATGATATTATGTATTTTACATGATACTTTATATATTTTATTTGGGTTAATTATAGTTTGCATTGACCTATGAAAACAATTACTTAGCAACGTTTATTTTTTAAAAAAAAAAAAAAATTATCAGAAGCTAATGCCTTGTCTTTTCTTGTCGTTGCTACTTGCCCCGATAACACAACTAGCCCCAAACACTGGGTAAGTTGTAAAGCCGCGCTTTTTCTAGAAATTTATTAATTCTGAAATAATGAATAACAGTTATGATATTACTTTTACTTGAATCGGTAGAGGAACAGTTACAGTAACTATCAATCTTTATTTCGTAGAAATATAATCAGGATCTCAAGATATTAGTTTAAAAAAAAACTGTTACAACAAACCCCTAACTCCCCTATATGTGTGTGTATGCTTGTATGTACCTGGATATTTCTAAAAAATACTACTGAAATCAGTTTCAATTCACTACACAAGCTACATACGCATTATATGAGAATTGCTAGTCATTTCGTCAGAGAACGATAACTCCATTTTTTTATTCAGAAGCAGATGTATCTTTAAAATAATTTTATTATAATATTGATAATAAAATATTCAAAAATATTTAAACTTTGAAATAAATGCAAATTTTACATAACATATCAGACCATTCCAAGATCAAAAATTCCGAAATTAAAAAAAAAACTTAATATTTGCTTATAATACGAATAGTAATGACAGCAGTTCATTTCACGTTGCAACGTAATATGTACACATTTTTAACGTCGATTTAGATTTATATTTTCTCGTTTTAATTTTTATTTACTTTATATTTTTTAGTCCAAAATCTCCTCCAAACAGCCCGAATACTGAGCTGAATACTGAAGATGATATGAAGGGTGTGTACATCAACTACTGGAATAAGGTGAGATTTTTTTTGTATGTAACGGGCGAAAGATTTATTTTCTGAGTGTGCGATTGATGATTGAGATTTTTAATCTCTGTCTGCTATAATTGCTCGAATGTATTGTTTATAAATAACGTTTTTCTTAATAAAGACAGTAAACAATTATATATTATCGTTTCAAGTTCGTCTTTGTCGAAAACATATTTTTATGATTGTATATTTTACCAATCAGGCGTCAATATTCGGAATATTTTTAGAGTAAACAATTTATAAATATATTTGCGTTATCTGCTAATTCATATTTTTATTTATTTGTAAAACATTTCAAACATTGCAATAAATTATAAAAAAATGGTGAATTGTAACAAGCCCGGCTAGCTCAGTCGGTAGAGCATGAGACTCTTAATCTCAGGGTCGTGGGTTCGAGCCCCACGTTGGGCGAATATTTTTTTATTTCGGGGCAGATTCTAAATGTTTATTGCAGTGGTGTATTCTTCATTTGATATTTTTTTAAAATTTATTTGAAGAAGTGAATATGTATTTACATATGTACATATAAATCATTGAATCGATATGGATTTCATATTAAATAATATTGTAAGATATTTGAATCGAGACCTAATGTTATATTTGATTTAATTATATTTTTACATCTTTATATTATGGTATTCATATGCTATTTCAATACAATGTTTTCATGTTATAAGATATTTGCCGGTTGTGATAACATTGTGAGGGCAATAAAACAAACATGATTTTTCTCGTTTGGAAGCTGAATGTATATTTTTAAATACATCGTTTTGCTTTTGTCTGTAAGCGGAGTTTTGAACTTGAGGCGTATAATTAAATTATTTCAAAGGTGTTAAAATAAGGTGAACATACGTCCCGATTTGGCCGGGGCAGTCCCGGATTTGCACCTTGTGTCCCTGGTTTTTCTCAAAACAATATTTGTGCCGAATTTAGATCTTTTATTCCGGATTGTCCCGGTTGAAAGGTAGATTAACAGATTATGGAAGGAAACGAACTAGTGCTATTAATTAAAAAAAAATAATGTGAATATGAAGAAAAATGAATAGCATTTTAGGCAAGGCTCAAAGGCGTAAAAACATATAGATAAAAAGTATAAGATATAATATCCTAGGTAAAACAGTGTTACATGTAATCGAATAATAGGTTTGTACTAAAAGTTAAGCTGATTAAAAAAAAGGTTAATTTAAAAAAAAAACTGTTTTTTATTGTATCCTTAAATAGCATTTGTTATTTAAAAATCATATCTAATTGTAAGTTATACAGCATATAGCCTACCCCACCCCCATCCCGAATTAGCATAATTAATAACTGCCGTCCCGATTTTGACTTGAAAAAATATGGTCACCTTAGTTGAAATGATAATTGCCTTTGATATATATAGCAACTTGAACCCAAATACTATTTTGTGTTTCTTTTGTCTTCTTATCACAAAGCTTTTAGCTAATATTATGATGTGTTTTGGTGTAATGTATAATATTACAATAAAATAATAAGTTTCGGATACTGATTTTATTAATAATAGTCAAATTTTTCTACAAAATATTTGTGTTTTAATTTCTTTATTTATATATGAAATGCGATACTCATATCTTAAAATATAAAAGCTTTAACATCATTCTATTGAATGAGCTTAACAAAGGTTAGGGGGGAAAGGAATCTTACAAATTTTAATACATAACGAGATGAAAATTTCAAAGAAATTATTGTTAACAAGATTTAAAAGTGTATGGAATATTAGAGACAAAATCTCAGTTCTCTAAACTTAAAAATCAATTACATTAAAAAGTTGGACGACTGTATAACTAATTTACAAAAGCTATTTCTTTCTCCAGACAAAGTCGAAGTTCAGCTGTACTTGTCGGACAAAAACAGACTACGTCTCAATGACAGTCTCGTTAACAAGTTATTCTTGTGTACAGTTCAATTTCTTTGTTATTGACCCCAGTCTTAATTGAAGGACACTAAAAGAGATCATAAGTAAGAATCTTAGAGATTAATGTAAATATTACTGATAATTTGTTATGTGTTAATGCGTTTCAACAAATAAAGTTATGCGGTTGCAGTTTTTTAAGTAAAATATAGCACAACAAGGTTAGGTCTTATTATATCTTCAGACAAGTTGCTTGAACTTTCCCATATTAATTACGATAAAAAAAATACAAATTTGTCGAGTAGCTCTTAAGTTTTTAATATTGTTAAAAATTTATCTTTAGCTGTAAATTAAGAAGAAGATGAGATTTCCATTTAAGATTGGTAAATGATAAGGAGTGTCAATATTGAGCTTCAATTGACAGTCAAAGAACTTTCAGTTTTTTTTAGATAAGTGCAGCCGTTCTCGACAAAACCTGCAGGAAATACAAAAGTCACATAGATACATACTTTTGTGTTAATCTGTTCAGAATATCTTGAAAAGTCGAGAAATGGGAAAATTAGTCTACACATTAGCATATTGTTTTTTTGAGGGAAACAAACTTTTCTTGTGGAAAGTTGAAAGCAATTTTTTTGAACTTTTTGTTCTGTGAACAAATATTATTTAATAAAATAATATTTGAATCGCAAATTGGAACTAGTGGTACACGACATTGTTTACTTGTACTGGTTAAATTACTGGAACTCTCCGTACCATAATCTAAAATTTTTAGAAGCTTTCGAAATGTTCAAAAAAAATATTTTATTTTTAGAATTTTATGAACACTTTGAATTTTTCTTAACATGTTTGATAATTTTGAATTTTTTTGAAAATTCTCCCATCAATAGGAATCGAATATTTTTTAAATCATTTAAGTCAGTTAATCCGTGCGGCCGAAATCGTAGACGAAAAATTGTATCCAAACATACATACATACATGCACACACATATTTACACATACACAAATACATCCATTTACAAAATTGAAAACTGTTGAGTCATAGAAAAATAAAATGTCGAATAAACCAGTAAAATATGGCTTAGGTCATCAATAATGACTTAATTATATTTTATTCATGATGTACTAATGTTATAAATGCAATCAGCTCCATGCAATCTCTACAACTATGTGGCTAGATGCACGTACCGTATTTCATTCTGATTGTTTGGTGAACATGAACTAATCCAACTATCGACCGAGATCGTATGTCACAAATACATTTTGGCACCGAATTGTTTTTCACACGTATAGAATTCATACCCATTCATATTATTTAGATATATAATATATTCTCTGTATGCATATAATAAATCCTCATGCTATGAATTAATCTATCTGATATGAACGGATATGAACTCTATATGTGTGAAAAACAATGTGGTGTCGTTGTGTCATATATACATACATAGATACAAGCATATATATATATATATATATATATATATATATATATATATATATGTATGATTCCGAATATTATGTTGACATATGTATTGCAAGTGTCTAACAATCAGGCACATTATCAATAAAACTTTTTTTTAATTCATTCTAAAATCCATACATTTTGGCTATAGACTCAACCTGCATTCAATGGAAATATAATTAAATTAGAAAACTGAAATATGTAACAATAGAGTTTGAAAAAATACAAGTAAAACAGTATAAAATACTCCATTATTTCCTTATTCTAATATTAAAAACAAAATACTCCATGGCATGAGAATATGGTACTGCTCTGACTATATAATATATACATAGAAGGGCTGATTCTGTCGCAAAATATACTAATGTTATGGCAAGACTATGTTACGTAGCGCTTCTCATATAAAATGGTACTAAAACTGTCAAAATACTATGTGGTTATTGTGCCGTCAAGCGTTTTCAATAAATCTTATCATAATTGCGTCTTTCTGGTGTATCATAATAACATATGAGTGAAGTTGCATTTTGTGTGCAAAACTTCTGATCGCACAGCAAATCCATAGCATTTTGGCAGTTTTTAGTACCATTTTATATGAGAAATACTACGTAACATAGCCTTGCCATAATATTGGTATATTTTACAGCACATCGACTCCGTATACAGTTGTCTTTTTACCGTTTTTTGATAATTTTACTAACATAACAATTTTTGCAAAAGAGTAAATGTACTCTTTACATTTACATTTATGTGCATTACCTTATGTTAGTAAAATTGTTATGAATCCAACTGCTTTATTGCTTATGTTGTATAGTTAAGTGAAGTTTTTTAATGTTTGTTGAGTATTTGAATATGAAAATGGTTGTTAATAAGTGAATTCTTCTAATTTTATAATAATTAAGCAAGTGTACAAATGTATAATATTTTTTATCAATAATTCTTGAAGAAGGGGACATACCATATTACAGAAACGTTGCATAAAATAATTAAAAAAAATTTAAATAGATAAATTTTTTGAAGAAAAGAAGGAGACCTTTAGTTCTGAAGTTTAAAAATTATAATCAACATAAAAGCAATTCAAATAGATATACACACTGTTTTTTGACTTTTACATTACCAATATGAATTGCGAAAGGGTTTTATAAAGTAACCCAACATTATCAAAAAAAATCTCCATCGTATACTGGAGGATAAACGTAAATAATCTCCACTACAGCCTGCGTTGTTTTATAACATTCATTACTGTATAATAAATAATATTTGTAGATGCTCAGTGAGGTTTCTCGTACAATATATTGATCCTCTTTCGAGCTGTTAACTTGTTTTGTAGGTTCCTTTGATGGCGCTCTCAAGCGTGAAAATGCGCTGTTTATCTCATTCCGTTCTTATAGTTAAGAATAAAGAATAAATTATACCGGTGGCCTACGTGCTTCGGAACATGTTTCTTGTAAGCCCATATTTTGTACATCGTTCATTTTGAGAGAATAAACATGTGGGCACCTTTTTCAAATACATATAGGCGGGCAGGCGGGCTAGTAATAAAATTACTAGTGTCATATGTGGGGTTAAATGTCACCTTAACCATTTTATAATTAAGAGGATTTTGATTAGTTGATCATTTTTATGTTTTCGGTTTAAGAATTGAGACCATTCCCCTC